GTGTAAATTTTATGATGGGGTTTGATGATAAGACAATTTATGTCTTCTGCTTGCTCCAGTTCTCTTATTAACACGATTTATTTCATTGTAAATTTTAATATATGACAAAACTCTTTGCTAAAAAAAAAAAAAAAAATAAAATAAAATAAACGTTATACCTATATAATAATTTTGATATAATAAATTTTAGTATATATAATACTACATATACTCAAATGAAGGTCTTTTCTTCTTGCTGCGCACAACAGTAGTTCTCAACCAGTGGTCCATAGACTTCTGTGGGTCCATGAGAACTTTTTAGGTGGACTACAAGGTAAAAGTAAATTCTAAATATTTTTTCGGGTAATGAATTTTAATTTTGATGTTTTTTTCTGTTTAAAGAGACAAGTTTAATCTTAAGTTAAAAAGGAAATTTATGCTAGAAAACTATGTTACACAAAATCTAGAAAACTATGTTACACAAAATCAGATTCAATTTTAACCGTCGAGGACTTGCGAACCACTACAAAGCAATAAATTTTAATACTTCGTAATGGTCCGCAATAAATTATGCTATATAATATCATAATTCTTTCATCCGTAAATCTTAAATTCTATATAAAACTTTTCTTCGGGTAAAAATACTTTTTCTAACTGATTTGTTTGAAAAAAAGTAATTTATGTTATTTTCTATGAAAATTCGATAATATACTCTTATCTTCATTAAATATTTTATCAATAACTAAAGAAATTGTAATTAATGAAATTAAAGAATCACCATATTTTTCTATTCAGTTGGATGAGTTCACAAAAGTAAGTTCAATGGCACAATTAATTGTATTTTGTTGTTATATTCACAATAACAAATTGAAGGAAAAATTTTTATTCTCTTCTTTCCTTGAAACAACAACAAAAGCAACTGATATTATGGAAATTTTAAAACATTTTTTCAATGACAATCAATTGCAATGGAAATATTTGTTTGGAATTACTACTGATGGAGCTCCTGACATAATGGGTTGTAAGTCTAGATTGTAGATTAGAATAAAAGAGATTGCTCTAAATGTAGTTGGTGTACACTGCTTTGATTTTAGACAGACTGGCAACTAAAACTTTACCAGATAGTTTGAAAGCTGTAATTAATCAATTAGTTAAATTGGTGAATCATTTAAAATCTTCTGTTCTCAACACTCAACATTTTCCAAAATTTTGCTCTCACCTAGATGCTGAACACAATAAGTTATTATTTTATACTTCAGTGCAATGGCTATCTGCTGGAAATTTTTTGGAAAGATTTTTTAAGCTTAGAAATGGAGTGAAAGAACTTTTATGTAAAATAAAAAGTAGACTGGTAGAATATTTTGAATTTGACAATTTTGAAATAACAACTGCTTATCTTGTGGACATTGTGGGTCATTTTAATACGTTAAATTTGCAACTTTAAGGCAAAAATACTTATGTCATTACACACTCTGATAAACTGACAGCATTTATTGAAAAGCTCAAACTGTATAAGACTAAAATTAATAATTTGGAAATCATATTTTAAAATTTAAATAGCGTAATTGGAAATAACATGCTTCGCGAAGTTATAAAGATAAAAATAGTTCGTCACCTAGATAATTTAATTAATAACCAAATTTTCAAAAATTAATTGCTGTCAGGGTTAGGGTTAGGGTTAATTGCCGGTCCGGTTTTAAAAGGTATAGCTGTGTAGCTAATTCTTTTTGTACGCCAGTGTTTCCCGACTTTTTCTAACCCATTCCCCAAACTATATATCATAAAATCTTCATGGACCTCTTTTCTTTTAAAAATTTTTATAAAGTGAAAATTTTAATAATGTAATTATTATTCATCAGGATAATATTTTATTTAAGGTATTTTAGAATAGACTACACTATCAATAAAGCACAATTATTTTATTTTAGTTGATATATAATACAAAAACAAACAGGACCGAATTATCGCTTTAAACAAAAAACAAAGAGATTTACTTTATAAAAATAGTTAACATATTTAGGATATTTAACATATCGTCAGCTAAGAACCAAAAGGCTGTATATGTCTACATATTGTGCTTATATTTTTCTGTTTATTCTCAATAAATAATTTTTAACTAATGGGGCGTGTGTTTACTAAATCTGGGATCAAGAAAAAAAAAAAACTTCTGGAAATATCTATTTAAACTTAAAAGTAGAAGTGCGCTTTCGAGCCTGTTTGACTCGGTACACTAGGCAGCCATTGCAAGCGAGGTAATGGCGAGAAAGAGTTGCAGCAGCTTTGTTTTATAAGAAAACGTGAACGTAACTTACGTAAACTTTAAATTATGTAATGTTAAAACATACGTTAAAACATGCTGAAACATTTATCAAGTTTTACAATTTGATTTTGCATTTTTTTTGATTTTGCATTTTTTTACAATTTGATTTTGCATTTTGCGCTAATTAAGCGCAACAAAGTTTTTAAAAAAATTAGTCTATATTAAAATTAAAAAATGATTTATATAATGTTTCTTTGCAAACACCAACACACTATATTTAAAAATTTTTAAGTATAATTTTTCCGATATATAATACATGCAAAATATATACATATATAATATATATACATATTATAACCTCAAAATAAACAATTTTTTTCCGTAAGAGAGCGTGGCGCTAAACTATATAAAATTGAAGTTCTCCTACGGAAAAAAGAGGAGAATGGGAATCCTAACAAAACATATTGTCTCATCCAAGTGGAAAATTTAAAACTTCAATTTTAGGTTTGCCCCTCTCTTGATATTTTTTATTGCTAAAATTACGTTATCCGATTCTTAGACCATTAAAAATGATAGTCGAGGCTTTTTCTTAAACCGTTGAAGCTGCATATGTGACGTCACTTTGTGGCAAAAAACTAGAAAATCAAACTAGAAAAACGGTTTTATTTAATTTTTTTAAAAAAATCCTTCTATTAAAGATATATAGAATATATTTTTATGGGATACATTTTAATAAAGAAAAAAACTATTTATTACTATTGTAATAAATACAATCTCTTATCCGTGAAATGATATATCTGTACCAGTTTTTATATATTTTTATGCATTTGTATGCAACAAAATTAAAATTAATCAAAAAATGTAAAATAAATGCAAAAGAAACTTGACGCATAAAGGTTTACTTTGCCACAAACCGACGTCATCGCTTAATTTTTAGATTAGCGTTTAATATTATTCTTTAGTTTATAATCATAACCAAAAGAATGAACTTTTTTTTATGACTGTTTTAGTGGTCTAAGATCTTTTTAGTTTTATTTGTATAGCGTTACCTACAAACGTCTGTAAATGTTAGCGTCTTTAGCATATGTTGAGTTTGCAGTCATTAAATGGAATAATCGCGTATAAATGAGATCTATAAAATGAGAAAACTTTAAAATTTTATTTTAAATTTTTGGCTATATTATTATTTTTTTGCTATAAATATATATATATGCAAGATTGAAAAAGTTTAAAAATTTATTACGCAAAGAGGAATTCTTAAACCCCCCAAAACAACACTGACGACAATGCACTTAACAACTGAGCTATCAATGAAATGCATTTAGCAAAAAAAAAAAACCCTAATTTTAAGCTCTACGTATGCGGAAAAGGTGCGCCTGTTAATTTTTTTGCTCAAAGTTTTTTTCAGAACAAAATTATTTTATTAAAAAAGTATTGAAATAAATAAGGAATAGGTATAGAAATAATCGGTGTGGAATAGGTATGTATAAAAAATGGTAGGTTTGGTAAAGACCCGGATTTACGGATCCGGTAATCTTGGATATGTAAGGGAAAAGTATATATATATTTTTTTCTATGTATTTAGTTGCTCCCAGAAGTCCTTACGGTCTTATCATAGAGCACCGCGGGAGAGCATTTAACAGAAAGTTCACGCCTCCTTCCGTACCAATGTCACTTGTTGGGCTAGAGCTGGCGTCGAACCTAGGACCTCTGGGTTCTGAGCCAGAACTCTAACCACTGCGCCACGGCTGCACAATATATATATATAAGTCCGATTTAGAATAGACCTGTTTTTACGTTTTTTACGGGTCCGATCTCAGCTAGTTTAAGAACTTTCTGGTGCAGAGTCTTTACATTTTGAAATCTAAAATACAATATTTTCTGAAACACAAAAAAGGGACGCAAGGCCTCCTTGTTCTCGGCTGACGGTATATAGGATATTTGACTAATTTTGAATTAGCCAAATATCCTATATACCGAGGAAATAGACTAATTTTGAATTACCGAGGAAATATAGGTTATTTGACTAATTTAGAATTACTGAGAGAAAAATAAGTTATAGAAGGTTTAAAAATTTTTAAAAATTCTTCTTTAAAAATCCCAAGTATTGGTGATATAATGTATTGTATTAATCAGTTTCGAGATCACTTTATAAAAAAATTAGAAACGATTGCCATCTTCCAAAAAGCTATATAGCTGAATAAAAAGCTATATAGCTATAATAATATAAATAAGCTTCCAAAAAGCTATATAGCTATAAAGCTATATAGCTGAAGTAAAAAAACTGTTGGTGTTTTTTTGTATTTGATGGTTTTTCGTAAGAAAAACGCACCTAATTATTGTCTAAGGAACTGTTCTAATTCTAAAAAAGTTTATTGATGCACGAAAATTTTTTTAATGTTCACATACTTAGTGATGATAAAAGGTTAAGAGACTTGTTGCGTTCTGTTGTTGAACTTTGTATTTATCATTTAGGTTATTAGTACATAGCTATTGTATTATGTTTCAAAACATAATACTAATACTTTTTTTTTATTTAAAAAGTAGTATTGAGTCGCAGAATACTGGAAAAATCTCTTGTATCCCACTCTCCTCTCTCCCCCTCCCCCACATCCCTAAGTAGCCTAACTAAAATATCTATCAAAATATTTATCAAATAAAAATACATAATACAATATAACATATAAAAATACACAATACAATAACATAAAAATAAATAAAAACAATAAACTCTTTAGAACGCAGAGTAAATAAAAAGTGTTTTGATTAATGAAACATTTTTACGTGAAAAACTATTTAATAAATATTTATGTCGTTTGTTTTATTACAAAAAAGTATGTTCATCCCACTGCTAAATGAAGACAAACATAATTTATATAAAATTTTATCAAAATATACAATATATATTTTTTAATGCATTTTAAAATAAATAATTCTACATATAAACGATACTATACTTCGCACTGAGTACTACTTTTTTGTGCAATTGTTCTATCAACTCCATTTATTTTTGACAATAGAACTGGTGTCTCAATAGAATCGGAATTACTAGATGTATAAATTGAAGCAAGAATAACGTATTGACTTCCAATTAGATTCTTAAAAGTTGTAGCACCTCTTACTCCGTTCAATGAAAACGCGTACATTTGTTGAAACCCAAACTCGTAACTAAACTTATAGAGAGAAACTGATTGGTCAAATTGAACAATAAGCAAATAAGTTACTGATCCAAGTTGATATATTGATGTATCAACAGCTCTTATTGTAGGAATAGTTTGAAACCAAACAAATTTGGTTGTTGCAGGATACCAAGCATAAATATCAACAGATACTCTAAATGTTGATTTTCTTCCTATAGTGTATTCTTGATCATTAGCGACCACCAAATATAAAATATTTCTATTCCAAAACGATGTTATACAACTTATACCACGAGAACTAAGCTGTTGATATAATGATACATTAGTTTCAGTTACTAAAGCAATATTAACCCAGCCATAAGATGAAATATTGTCTGAACGCACAGCAAATGCGACAGAATATCCAATTGGTGAAATGAAGCCGTGTATTGCTCTTGAAGGTAAATTGTTTATTTCATAAAAAATTGTTTGAGAAGAATTTAATAATAATAACTGTAAGCCACCTTTTATGTTACTTATAAAAATGTAAACAAGATTTTTTTGATACTGCAAAAACGCATCTGACGCTCCTGTAGTTGCAATAGTACTTTCAATTTCAAAGCTTAAACTTGTCATATTCCATTTATAAAGCTGTGAAGGACCTAGATTAAAAGAAAAAAAATTAAAAAGATAAAAAATTATAAATTATAAATTAAAGTAGGAAAAAAAAAAGTTAAAAAGACCTTATCGAAAATCAGATTTAAAAGCAAAAAATAAGGCCTTATCAAAAAACAACCATTATTGGTTGCAAAAGGTTTAGGTTGAAGTATAATTTTATTTGTTTTTTTTAGCAACACAAAGATTTACTAATGAACAATAAAGCTACCCAGTCAGTGGCTTTACTGGCTGGCTTTGTTGTTTTAAAAGTTTATTAATATTATTTAAACAAAAATTTAAAATTTGGATTTAAAGTTGCAGTTAAACTTAAACATCGAATTAAATTTAAAGGTGCAAACAAACCTGAAATGTTGGGACAGTTTTCATCATAGTTAACAACAAAAAGAAAAGAGGAATTCCATGCAGTGAAAAATATCATTTTTATGGCACCAGCAGTTGGTATAATCTGATAATCATAAAAACTTTTGGAAGAGTAATTATACTTCATGATATAAGAATAAGCACATTGATAACCAAAATCATCTGATGGTACTGATACAGCTAAAAACTCTTCATTTTGAATAACAAAATATTCCACATGTTGAACCTTTTTATGAGGTAAATTTTGTTGCAATGTAAAGTAATCATGTTGACCTGCACCACCTGAAAATGTGTTTTAATTATTACTATATCAAAAGGCTAACTTTAATAGTTACTTTAATATAAGTTTTAACATAAATAATAATATGAACATTAGCATAAATACCACATTCAAACACAAAAAAACATAAAATTAACATAAAAGAAAAAACTTTAAAATATATATAAATAAATTAACAAAATCAATAACATTAATAAACAAATTAATTTTTTAAATTCAACTTCTTAAATTTTTAACATAATATGTAAAACAAATAATAAAAAGAAAAATTAGAGATTCTCAAACCTTCAAGTGCTGCCTTTGCATAAGTAAGCGAGCTGCATTGTGTGTTTAAAGTTACATTTAACTGATTTTGAAGATTTAAAAGATTTTCCTGAAGAGCAGGACTCTCATTTACAAAATTTAAAAGATCAATTTCATTAACTAAGCCACTCACTATAGTATTACTGTTAATGTAAACATCATTGATAAAAATTATGTCACTTCTAATAGTTTGATTGTTATTTACTGTTGCACAGGATTTATAAAATTCCTCCCAACTAACGTCAGCAATCTTACCTAAATATCATTTTTAGTTGCATAAAAAAACGTAAAAATTATTATTTAAGAAAGATTTGAGCTACTATGAAAAATATTGCTAAAGAACAAATAATTAGCTCATTTAGTTACTTATTTAGTTTAGAAATATCTATGACAACCAAATATAACAAACAATTTAACCTTTAACTTGAATGTTTTCACTAACTAAATTCCCTGTAAATGTTTTTTGTCCTATTATCTCTTGCTCTGTATGTAAAGTCACAAAACTATTGTTGTTGATTATATGCCCATCAACTTTCCCAATGGATAAAATATTTTGCATAAAAATATTGTTTGAAAATGTTTTTTCTCCACCAACTTTTTGAACTTGATTTGAATTGATAAGAAGTGATGAAGAAAACAAATCACTTGTATTGACATTATTGATTAGTTTTTCCACTGTAACATCATTAACTGTTTTTAAAGACGATAAAAATGTTTTTTGACCTAAAAAAATATTGTTGTTAATAAATACTTGTAAATAAAACTTGTACATTTTTCACATGATCAATAAACAAGTAAAAGTCAAGCAAGGGGAATTTAAAAGATAAAAACCAAACTGTTAGGAACAGGATGTTAAATATAGTTTAAAATAATATTGTCTATTTTTATGATATATTAAGAATAACAAATGTAGTATATGGCAGTATTAAACACCGAGTCAATAAAGATAAAACAAAATGTTTACCTAACACAGTCTGTTCTGTTGACTTTGTCAATAAATCATCTGGCAAGTTGATACCATTTACTTTTTCAAAAACTGTTAAATCATTAACTGTTAAAGTTCCAGTAAATGTTTTAGAACCTATTACTTGATTTCCATTAGTCTTTAAAGTAGTCTCATTTAAGTTTGAAATATTAACTCCATTTATCAAGCCATTTACAATTGAATGATTGCTTACATGAATATTACTTAAAACAGAAAATCCATTTTGGAACACAGTATCTCCAACAACAGTTTGATCTTTGTTTGTTTGAACAAGATTTTGGGAAAATTCCTTAAAGTCTACACCATTTATTGTTGTTGCCATAGTTAAATTGTGCAACCAAGTTAAATTATAGAATGTTTTTAATCCTTTAATTTCTTGATAATCTAATCTATGAAAGTTGAATATAAAATTAAATATCAAAATTAGATATGTATTATAATACAATATATAAATATAGTTTTGGTTTATGTAATTTTATCATAAAATATAATTATTTAATTAAGCTATTTACTTTTAATTACATTTCTATTAAATATTTCATTTATATAATAACATTATAGATTAATATTGTTTGTTATTATAATAAAAAATAAATGAATATAAAAATTTACCCTTCTGTTCTGACAAGCCCTAAGTTATTGATATCAAATCCATTTACAAATGTGGAGTTAATATTTGTTCCATACAAATCTTCTGAGAAGAGTTTATTACCTTTTAAAATTTGATTTCTATTTTTAAATACAGCCTGGTCAAGTAGTTTTTCAAAATTAACATCGTTGATAGTACCATTAACAATAATTTTATCAAAAGATGCTGATAAAATATTTTTAAACCCATCAATAGTTTGTTCTTTTGTTTTATATACAATATCCTTATTTATATTCAGTCCATTTACATTTGATAAATTAAAATAAACTCCTTGGATATTTCCTTCCACTATTAGCATTTCAAAATGATAATTACCATACTTTGAAACTAAATCATTCAAAGTTATTACATTTTCTCCTATTAATAAATTCTTTGTAACCAAAACATCTTTTTCAACTTTCAAATCTGATATCTCAAAATCTCCATCCACTGTAACAGTTTCATTCAACAGAATTGTGTTTGCTTTAAGTTCAGAGATATCAACTTGGTCAATTGTAGAGGTTGTGAGCAAATTTTTTTTTAATTCTATGATTTCAAATACTTTTTTTGATGTAATAGTTTGGTTTGTGTTTAAAGTAACAATGTCTTCGTGTAGCAAATGTAGATCAATATTATTTACATAATGAGTAGATTTATTGTAGTCTGGTTGTTGAAAACATATACTTCCTGTTATTGTTTGGTTTCTTGAAATCATCATCCCTTCTGAATTTAAATGAGAGAGATCAACTCCATCAATAGTTGTAGAAACAGCAAGATCATCTTTAACTGTTATAAGTAAACTTTCATAGGAAATGGAGGTAAACAGTTTTTGAGCTGAAACCTCCTGATCTCCACTTAGCGTCATAACATCTTTACTAAGATCAATATCATTTATCATTCCATCTACAATTATATCACCGCCTATATGTATATACTGTCCAAACCTTTTAACACCAGCAATAACCTCATTTCTGTGAAGAGTGATTACAGTGTCTTCTAAACTTTGGATATCAATTTCATTTATTTTACCTTCAAGTTTAATATTTTCATTAAATATTACATCATCTTCAAACATGAAGTACCCTTGAAATGTTTGTTCTTTATTTACTTGCACAAAGTCATTTGGAAAATGGAAACCATTAAGAAAAGTAGTATTAAAATTAGATGTTACATTTAATAGATCTATTTGTATTTTACCAGTAACTACTTGATCCCCATCAAAATGTAAAACATCAGAGTATAGTTGTTGAAAAGTTGAATAATTATCATAATTAACCATACCTTGGATGGTAGAATTATAAATTTCAATTTCTTCAAAAAACATTTCTTCAATGGAATCTGAATTGTTAATACTAACTGCTGTATGAATAACTTCTGATATATCAATATCATTAATTGTAAAATTTTCTTTCACATCATAATTTCCAACAATTTCTAAAGAATCCAAAAACATTTTAGATCCTAATATTTCTTGATTCCCATCTAGGGTAATTAAATCAGTCAAATACATGCCATCTACTTTTCCTGAAACTATTAAATCCTTGTTTGCTATTATATGGCCTTCAAATGTTTTCATGCCTGTTATGTTTTGGTCATTCAAAACGTTCACATAATTGGTAGGATCAATTTCATTTATAAACTTCTCAACATCAATGTCTTCTAAAATAGTTACTGTTGAATTAAACACTTTATTCCCATAAAAATAATTTACATTCTCTTTAAACCCAATTGCTTTTTTAAGTTCCAGCAAATCATAGTTGTTTAACTTTAATGTTACATTAACTGAACTGTTACTAAAAATGCTGCTAAAGTCTTTAAAGCCATTTATAATCTGTTCAGTTGATTTTGTAAAAAGATTTGAAAAAACATTAGAAATGTTAAGATTGTTTACAAAATTATTGAAAATAATATTATCTGCACATATTGGAGCAATAAATAAATTTTCACCCAAAATAACTCCTGATTGATCAGTAAGCATTACTTCTTTTGTGACGTTGAAACTATTTATAAGACCAGCAATCATGTTGTTTTTCAATATGGTAGTTTGCTTAAAAATTTTTGGAGCTGAAATAGTTTGGTTAGTGTTGTTAACAACAAGGTCATCTTTGATTATAAGTCCATTCAAAAAACCTACCTGAATGTCTGTTGCTGCAACTTCACACATAAATGTTTTTTCCCCAGATATAGTTGTAGGCTCTAAGTATGAAACTAAATCATTAAATAAAAAGGAGATATCAATTTCATTCACTGTATCAAGTTGAGCATTCTTTTCAATATTCATAATATCAACAGACAATTCATTGAATGTCATATTAGCTGTAATATTTTGCTGTTCATCTAATGTCATAAACAGGTCTTTATACTCAAAAATATTATGAACTATTAGATTTTGCTGACTGAAATTTGAATACAGTTTTTCAATAGAAAACAAAGTTTCATTAAGAGTTTCATTCTCAAAAACGTGTGCAATACTTCCATTTGTAACCTCCAGTTTACTGATATTAGCTTTATTAATAAAAACTTTATTAAAAAAAGTTTTTGAACCTGTTATGACATCACTATCATTTTCTTTTACAGCATCATTTAAAACAGTTTGCGCAGTATAAAGCATCATTTTAACTTCCTCTAAAGTTTTATTTAACTGAATCAATTTTGCTTCAACTTCTCTTGTAAATGAGTCAAGTGGACTATCTGTAAAAAAGACTTCATAAGTAAGTTTATAAACAGATTCTTTCATTGTATTGTTTGCACCAACCATTAAAAATAAGTCTGAAGCTTCAGTACCGAATTGTCTTTGCGAAAAAGTTGCTAATGATAAAGGATTGGGTCGAAAAGCAGCTCCAACATCATTCAGCTGGTAAATTGAAAAAGGCGCAATCTTAAAACTTTCTTTTGTGTGAGAAAATGTATAAAGTCCAACTTGATCAACATTATTTCTTTGATCTGCATAAAAAAGTAAAATATCCTTCATACAGTTTGGTACTGATAAGCTTACCCATTTCTTTGCTCCATATGTTGCAACAGATTGTATGAGGTAATATTTTCCATTGATATATTTGTAAATATCTGAGTAAACACCAAACGATTTATTATATACTGTTCCTTTTGCTTCATTTGCTACAACCAAGTAGGCTTCACCACTAAGCAAAAAGTGGTTCATATCTTGTGCACCATGGGTAGGAAGGTATTGCAATATATCAAACAACTTTGTTCTGTCATTATAGATATAAATAAATGAAAAAATGTCTAAGTTTCCAATGTTATCGCGATAGTTTGTAACTATAATGAAAGTTTTCAAATTATAACTATAAGATTCAAGATCTACAACTCCTGACCCAGGTAAGCTTGAGTGAAAATAAAACATATTCATATTGGGATCATAGCGGTGTACTATCACTTGACTTGGAGAATAATACTGTTTTCCATTAGGTGTGTTTATAAAATATGATCCTAACATAAGGTAGGTTGTTTCAAGAATTGTCACATGCTTCAAAGCACGGATATTATGATTCGGAAACTCTTGAATTTTTATAAATGTGAATGCAGGTGAAGGTCCAATTTCATAAACTGACACTTTGGTTGGATGTGTCCCATTATTATCTTCAACATAACCTATATACACGCATCAAACAGGTTCTCAAAGTTCTTCAATATCAAAATAAGAGTAAAATTTTAATCTTATAATAATCTTTAATATTATACTATATATTATATATATTATATATTACCATATATATTACTATATATTACCAATGACCTTCCATGTCAAATTTTGAAAATCCAGAAAACATTTTGCAGATAAAATTTATTTCCCTTAAATTTGTCTTAACTTAACTTGAAGTTAATTTTTTTCTTAACTTTTTTAAAACTCTAATTATTTTTACCAATGATTTTATTAACTCGTCATCTCTGTTTGCTCACAGACAAACGTCTGTGAGCATCAAATCTTGCAATCAATTTTTGAGTCACTTCTTGATGATAGATTTTCTTCAAATTTTGCATACGTAATCTTGCTTAATAACAATACAACATTCAATAATTAGTTTTGTAATAAGTCAATTAATTTAGTTAATTAATTTTAATTAAGTTTATTTTTTATAAAGAAGAAGAATTTTCAAAATAAGTATATCGATTGTTTTCATACTGATAGGCGCATTTAGCATATATGGATAAGTCAATATGATATAGTCAACGCCTTATATGGATGAGGCGTTGACTTCATAAACGGAATGTCTGTGGTTCGCGACCCGCATCTTCCTGAACTTTTTTTTTTTTACACGTGCATACAGCCGAATGTTAATAAAATAAAACAGTAATATCAGAAAAAATTGATTGCAAAATTTGTGTTTTAACAACATATAAAAGCATTGGGTTTTAAAAATTTGTTTTTAATTTTACTTGTTGATAAGGGTAATGAGTGAAAAATATAAAAAAACAACTATATTGCAAAAATATATATTTATATTTGTATTTACCAAAAACATTTTGGAACCCAGAAAAACTTAAACTTGAAAAAATATCTAGAATACTGAATATATTTAGAAAATTATAATTGATGTATTATGTAATAATATGATTATTACTTATATAATAATACATTTATAAAATAAAAATTATCATTTAGTTAATATACTTAAATAATAATAGTAGTTATAATTAAAAAATTCTTCCAAAAACTCTTAGCAAAATAATGGCATTATTAGGTAAATGACTTAATGATTCTTAAGCACATTGAACTACTTTGCAATGTTTCTACATAAGGTGGTAGTACCCTTTAATAAAAAAAAAATTAAATCCTGATATTATAGTTGTTTTTTTGAAAAATTATAAAAATACACAAAAAGTTAATTGCAAGAAAAACACATTTTAAAGAAATACTAAAAGTATACTAGGTTTGCTACACCATCAAACCTATTAAAAAGTACCGAATATAAGATTTAAGTTTATGAATATTAGATTGAAAACCAACAACAACAAGAGTTCTGGATGGAACAATTTAGTCCTCAGGTTTTTACTTTATTTTTTTGTATTGTAGACAAATAAGTTATTATAAATTCAGTAAGTTAGCATATAACAAAGTAAATAGTTTACCTTAGTAACCATACAAAATTCAGAGAGTATATTGCATAGTATAGAAAAGCTAGCTATGTAAACATCATTTATGGTTTGTTATATATATTAGAAACTATTATGGCTTAAAATTTTAAATTTCTATGTATATATTGCCTTATAGTGCATTTAAAGTGCATTTCTGTAAAATACTAAATAAAATGTATTAAATTATATTAACTATATTTTAATATAAATAAAAATATTGTCAACTTTTACCTGCTACAGCTAAAAAATATTTGCATTGCAATGGTGCGATTTTTCCTTTAAAGAACTCTACTTCATAAGGAGCATATTCTTCCAAAACCTGATGAATAACAAATTCATTACTAGTATTGTTATAACTCCAAATTATGACATTTGAGAGAAAAGATCCATTTAGGTTTCTGTAGTTAGCTACAGCAAAAAGCATTGGTATTTCAGTCGCAAAGGTTTCATCTTCAGCTTTAATCAAAATTGGTACAATGTCCGAAGGCTCAGACATAAATGGAATCTCAGAATAAGGAGTCAATGTCTTCACCAACAACTCTATTAAAAATAAAAATAAAATAAATTATAAAAAACTAAAGCTTTTCTGTGTAGCGTGTTATGTTTCAGAGTTTAGGATCGAGTTTCAAATTTTTTTTTTTTTTTTTTTTTAATTATTCACCTCCCCAAGGCCGGAGGGGGTCACTACAGTCGAGGAGGCTACTAATTTTTTTTTTTTGTGTGGTAAATCGTGGTACAACCCTCTCTCAACTCTTTAACTCCGAAACATAAAGGCCGCTGCGCGGAGAAATTAAGTTAGGCGCTGTACTTCCAGGGACATGGTGGGAGTCGAACTCCGAACCTCTCGCTTACAAAGCGAGCGCTCTTACCACTACACCACTACCGCATATAAATAAAATTAAAAAAAAGAGAATCTGTCGAGTAGCAAATTTAAAGGGATCCCAAACTCCCAACACATGTTGTGTTCATATTAAAGATAATGTTAAAAAAAAAGGTTTGAACCAAATTTTTTAGATTAAAAATAAATAATGAATGCATACCGAGAAAAACAAATGTTGTTGTTTTTGCCGAAGCTCGTCTTCTCCATTTTTTTCAACTAATCGGAGTCTTTAAATTATGCGTCGCAATCTACAGACTTTGGCAATTCCTTTGAAGCGCGTTTAATTCATAAAAGTTTTAGTATTTGACGTCACGATAGACTTTTAACAAAAGAAAAGTGTAATTAAACTAAGCTGCGTTTTTCTACTGTAGTATTTTTTTAACATACAGCAAAACAAATTTATTTGTATTATTTTTCTTAACATCGCAAAAAAAATTTTGTAAAAAGTAAAAACAATAAATTATTTTTATTTTATAGGAGCAACTTATTTTTTACAGATATCTTAATAATTTTCAGATTTATATATCTTACTTATATTTCTTTAATTATTTAAATTAAAACAAATATTGAAGCTTTACTTACCAATCTCATGATTTTCATACAAGTATTTTACATTATATAGAACGTTTTACATACGGTCTCTTGTTTTAGCGCAAGAGAGCGCAGTATTATATATTCTGATTCTTAATTATTTTTATTTAAACAATGGGAACTATTTTCTAACTTCTCTGGTTATATTTATGCTATGACAATTTTTTGTTTTCCCGTTGAAAAAAAGTATTTATTAACAATTACTTTCATAAACTAACAGTATTAATTAGAGATATTTAATGAATTGTTAACTTTTTTTATTATAAAATTTTTTTGATCACGCTGATTTAATTTAAATTGCTAAATTTGCTGAATTGGATACGGATAAAAAGGAAATACCATTTTATTTTACATTTGATTTTTGATAATGAAATTTTTAAAATGTCAGCAACTCCATACCAATTAAAACCTGTTAAGATTATGAAAAAAAATTCAAGAATACACTAAACAATAGTTTAGTGTATTTTTGTACTTTTTTTTTAACACTTGACAATAGTATCAGATATGAAAATTCGTTCATTGAGATCCTGATTTTGCATTAAAAGTACAATTAATTGCAACACAAGTCGGTATTATAAATCTTGATTATAAGTTTACTATTCAATATTTTATAAACTAATATTTAACCAAAATACGGACAAATTATTATTAAATAACGCAATAATTAACACATTAATTAAAGGCAATAATTCAAGATAGATGGTAATTTAAATTGTTAAAATGTCATAACGCGCATTAAAAAACATATTATATTTGGTATTTCCAAATTTGTGTCATAATTGGCATTTGTCTCTTAACATGAAAAATTAAAAATTTTTAAAAACACAATAAACAAATACAAATTTTCAAGCAATTTTCTTTTCCAATTCTCATTTATTCAAAGAAAATTAAACTATTAAACTTTAATTTCTCTCATCTAAAAAAAGAACGAGTGACGCAAAAAAAAAAAAAAAATTCTTTACAACTCTTATTCATTCAAAGTTTAATTGCGCGAAACTTTTCTTTCTCTTTTGTTCTACTCTTTTATAAAAATAGCGCCCAATGAAATAAAAACTTTTATTTTTTAATATATAATTATAGTTTGAGATAAAATTAAATTAGAAATAAATCAACAATGAGCAAAGCAACGAACAGATTAATCTGGAACTATTTTGATATTTATGAAAATAATCAACATAAACAACATTACCAACAACTGTTATCAAATAAACAACACAATCTCGCATAATTTTAGAAGCATTTTATTTTTATTGCTTAGTCATTCTAAATTATTATTTAGATAAATTAAGTAAATTTAGTTCAAGTTAATAATTCAATATTTACAGTTGCAATATAATAAAGAAATGGTGTTTAATACTGAACTTTTTATTTAGTTATTTATTTTTTTACCTACGTTTGTTATAAAAAACTTTAGAACCCCCGTCATTAAAATAATTTGTTTTAAATATATTTCGACGTGATTATTCAAACTAATTTTTTTCGTTTGACTTTCCGAACTTCATGCAAAGCAAATTGAAATGAAATATCGTCTAACCAAATAAAAAAGCTGTTATTAATTTTATACGGGTAATTAATGTAAAACAATTTTTGAGATAATAAATATTCATAATTTATAAACATTAAATATATGGCGCAATAACAATTTATAGCAACGAATCAGCATTAAATATTTAAGGTTTTTAATATCTTTTTAAATATTAAAAGTAGAAAAAAAAAAAAACTAAACAAATAACCAAAAAATCTTCGACTAAAAATAAATAAAAATATTTCCAGAGTTTCTTTTGTTAAAAGTCTACCGTGACGTCAAATACTAAAACTTTTATGAATTAAACGCGCTTCAAAGGAATTGCCAAAGTCTGTAGATTGCGACGCATAATTTGAAGACTCTGATTAGTTGAAAAAAATGGAGAAGACGAGCTTCGGCAAAAACAACAACATTTGTTTTTCTCGGTATGCATTCATTTCTTATTTTTAATCAAAAAAAATTGGTTCAAACCTTTTTTTTTAACATTATCTTTAATATGAACACAACATGTGTTGGGAGTTTGGGATCCCTTTAATAATAAGAATAATTATATATATATATATATATATATATATATATATATATATATATATATATATATATATATATATATATATATATATATATATATATATATATACATATCCTTATATTATAGTCAAAAGAAACTTTTTGGTAAGTCTCTTTCAACAACAATTAAGCTAAATTTTAATGTCATCTAAAAGTTAAAACAATTGAAATAACGCGAAAGTAAATTAAGTTTTATCCCCTATTAAAAAACTATTAAATGACTAGAAATTTTTTTTCATTAATAGTGTTTTTATTAGGCATCTGCGTAAAGGGGAAAAATTCCGACAACCGTGTTACCGCATATTCTCGCAAAATATTTACGACCTCTTGCGGTTTTCTGCAAATTTTTCTTTTAATTTTACGACCACTGCGGTTAATCGCGGCTTAGGTCGAGTTTAGTCGGTTTTAAATGGTTTCATTACATTTTGTAAAACATACAAGAAACATAAGCAAGTCTATTATAAATATTATGAATGTACAAGTTTTTCCTGCAGGAAAAAAAAGAGAAATAGACAAAAATTTTAGCACATTTATTTGCAGCTTGATAGTTTTTAGCATAAAAATTTTTAATATCTAGATTTTTCATGTTAAAAACTAGAGGCCTACGTAGAGAAAATTTGTTTTTCCATTTTTAACTTTAAAAAGTTCAACGCAATGACAATGAAAAAAATATCAAACTTTAGAGCTGTTGTTCAAACTCTTATTCAATCTGGAATCCGGTTTGCCCACCCCAGTTCTATTTCCTATATATATAAATCATTGGCAGTCCCCACCTTAACTTATGGTATGGAGCTATGTGAAAATAATCCTGGTCTGATGAAAAAGCTAGATATAATTGGAAGGAGTGCGCTAAAATCGTTTTTAAATGTTTCAAAACATAGTAAAAACTATATGAATTCGTTATTTAAAATCCAGGAAATTTCAAAAAGTGTTCAACAAAATAAGTTAAACTTGTTCCTTCGATTTCTTAATAACAAAACAACTGCAGACATTATCTTTTCACAACTGCAACACCCGTTATTTCAACATTCGTTTGTTAGTGATATTCAGGAACTATGCCATCTTCAGATATTAAATTTTCAAAACCTAATTCAAAATAAAAAGAAGGTAAAAATACCACTTTCTAAAAGTAAAATTCCTTCCGAAGTTGAACGAAACTTGAAGTATGCAATAGAGTGCTGGAATGCAAAAGAGCAAAGAGGAGTTTTCAAGCAAATTCTGGAAGAAAACGTTTTTAAGCAAAGTCATCCGAAATAACATTCTTATTTTTTTCTTTTTACCTTGTAAATTGGGTGTTAAATAAATAAAATAATAATAATAAATAATAATAATACTGCCTCATAAAAAATTTAAAATAGAAAATTTCGTCAAAAATCTTGCTTTATTTTTTGATGGATTGACTTCTGATACCAATTCGAGGCGGGTTTCATGTTCGTCAGATGTTTCCAGCAGTTTGGCCACTCTTTTCACAAACGTCTCACCAAGTTTGGTCAGCCTCAAGTTTGCTTGAAGATAAACAAGCATTTGCACATTTTCTGGGTCAAGTCTTGTCCGTAGGTCAGTAACGACATTACCAGCAACAGAAACATTACCAGCAACAGAAACAGAACAGCAACAGCCTAAAACATTTTTTTATTTTCAAAATTTGGGAAAAAAATTCTGCTTTCTTGAAAACTTTTCTTAGAAATGTTTAAAATTTAATCATTTAAACTGTCCGGAAACTAATTAGGAGTCATACAATCTGCAGTAATGTGATGAAAAGAAGCAATTTTAATATGTAAAAAAGCTCTATACCTTTCTAAAGACGCTGAAGTTGCAGGGATTGCATAGGTGGCACGAAACATTTGAGCCAAAAAGGGAAGACAATCTTCATTGTCACGTCACCATTTGCAAGAATCCACTTCTTGCGATGGAAGAGGAGACGCAAAAAAGGCATCAAACTCGAGCTCAATTGGTGACTTAGTCACAGCTTCC